TCTGCCACTTTATTTCCATCTCACTCGCTCAACCAACGGTCTGTCGTGACTCCAAGGTCGCACGCGCATTCGTGCTAAAGAAACTGAACTTGGACTCAAACCAGCTGCTTCCCAGTATCTCGTTTCTCCTTTTGTTTCCATTGTCCGGAGATTCAATTATGTCTCGCTGGAATAAAATTGTAGACTGGGGAATTTGATTGACTGTTGTGAAACATTTTTTGAGTTTATGACGTCGGTGTTTAATCGGGAATTTTTCAGTCTGAATGAGCGAGAATTCAAGGATTTATCGCACATTTTATTCTATTGAATCCTAATGAATTGGAGATTGCGAGATTACGTCGGATTAAAATTAAAATTCTTGGGGGGGGGACTCGTTTGCATGAAATTTCCATTTGTTTTTTTTTTCAACTTGAAAGTTTTTTGAAATTCAAGTGATAGCTGCTTTTGAATGCTCTATTTTGTTGGTTTGAATTCAATTTTAAGTCGAATCGTTCGTGATATCGTTTATTCACCTTGGATATTTAACATTGGGTTTTCCATGTCCGGCATTCCTGGCGTCATTGATAGTTCACGCTAATTAAAAGTCATTAAAATTGAATTAAACATCACTTTGATTGGAATTTTTCATTAATTGAAAATGTGGATTTTTTTTTTGAAATTTCAGGAGTTATTTTCCAGTAATATATTCATGAATCAGTTCATTACTACATTGTATTCAATGAAATTGGATTAGGAGGTCCAAAATTTTGAAAACTCATGCGATGATTTTTCTCTATTTGTAATTCAAATCCACCTATTCCTGAAATAAAAAAAAAGTGTAAATTTCCAAAAAAATCCCTGAAATGTCGTCCAACTATTTCATAATTTTCAGCAATTTAAGAAAGTAATCTATGAACAATTTAACAAATAATTTGGAAATTGAAATTTCCATCAATTTTTCCATTAAAATGTGAATTTTCAAAGTAAATAACAAATTCCATGAACAATTCAATTACAAACTAAATTCCAATTCCTAATATTAAAAATTCAACTGCACCTGAAACTACAAAATATTTTCTGTTCAAATTTCGAAAAATATTTGTAACAATATAAGTTTCCAAGAAAGCCCCTCGAAATTTCGTGCCAATATTTTATGATTTTTCATCAACTCAACAAAACATTCAACAAATAATTGTCATCGAATAATCGACCTGAGATTTGAAATTTCCATTAATTTCTCCATTAAAATATGAATTTTCGAAGTGTATTCCCTTTGAAACAAATTCCATGAACAATTCAATTGCAAACTTAAATTCCAATTCCTAATATTAAAAATTCAACTGCACCTGAAACTACGAAATATTTTCTGTTCAAATTTCGAAAAATATTTGTAACAATATAAGTTTCCAAGAAAGCCCCTCGAAATTTCGTGCCAATATTTTATGATTTTTCATCAACTCAACAAAACATTCAACAAATAATTGTCATCGAATAATCGACCTAAGATTTGAAATTTCTATTAATTTCTCCATTAAAATATGAATTTTCGAAGTGTATTCCCTTTGAAACAAATTCCATGAACAAAAAAACTATGATATTTCACTGAAAACAATTATTATTATTTCAAATAATTGACTTTTCAGTTTTATAATCATTAATTGATTCAAAAAAAAAAATGCTTTGAACAAATCCCATGAACAATTCAATTGCAAACTTAAATTCCAATTCCTAATATTAAAAATTCAACTGCACCTGAAACTACGAGATATTTTCTGCTCAAATTTCGAAAAATATTTGTAACAATATAAGTTTCCAAGAAAGCCCCTCGAAATTTCGTGCCAATATTTTATGATTTTTCATCAACTCAACAAACCATTCAACAAATAATCGTCATCAAATAATCGACCTAAGATTTGAAATTTCTATTAATTTCTCCATTAAAATATGAATTTTCGAAGTGTATTCCCTTTGAAACAAATTCCATGAACAAAAAAACTATGATATTTCACTGAAAACAATTATTATTATTTCAAATAATTGACTTTTCAGTTTTATAATCATTAATTGATTTTTAAAAAAACAAAAATGCTTTGAGCAAATCCCATGAACAATTCAATTGCAAACTTAAATTCCAATTCCTAATATTAAAAATTCAACTGCACCTGAAACTACGGAATATTTTCTCCTGAAATTTCGACAAATATGTCTAACAATGTAAATTACCAAGAAAGCCCCTTGAAATTTCGTGCAATTATTTGATGATTCTGCATCAATTCAATAAACACCGAACGATGGCAACCCTTAATGCACACGGAAACCGCTGGCTGGGCCCCCGCAGTACCGAGAAATATCATTGCCGCGTGGTTACGAATGAGGGAGCGCCCTCGGCCCGAGGAGAGTCGAACGACCTCTAACAAACGAGCAAAGTCGAGCGACCTCCGTGGAGCCGAAGTACCCAGGCAGAGGCAGGACGTCGACGTCGTCGTATGGACGTTTGCGCGGGGTGAGACGCGCGCGCGCACACACACACACACACACCGCGGGTTCATTGACCGTCTGACCATGAGCCGCGCCCCACATACATTTCACCACCTATGTATCATGAAAGAGATGATAAAAAAAAATAGGATTGCATTTTATTTTCATTCTTCAGCGAGCGATTCTTGCATTCTACAAAGATCCCAAGTTCAAAGCGACGAAATCGAGTGCATTCCACTCGAGAATCCGACAATAACAAAATTTCATGGGGCTGTTATCGTTTCGTGGGGCACAACGTCAGAATTTTTTTATCACCTCGGGTGGAATTTTTCACTTCGTCATTAAATGATGATTCATTTCTTCGAGATTATTGTGCAGGCGGGATCGCTATCCCGCGATCTTTATGATTCGAAACTGATGAAACTTTTCCGGGAAAAAGAAAGCGGCGAGATGAAAATGTGGGCGGAATGCCGACATTTTTACATGCACTCAGCATTAATCATGGGTTTATAGAGGTTTAATTGTTGTTTTTATTCGTTAAAGTTTTATTCGGAGAGAAAATGAGGAGAGAATCCGGGGGTATTCGTTTGCAACGTGCACACGGCATTGGAAAAACAGTTAGACGAGACGGAGAATTGATTCGTGTGGAGTGCGAGTACACCCACTGAAAGATATTCGTTCGTGCGCACTCGTCAAGTGCTCCCATTACTCGGTATATGGGTCAGGGTGGACCTGCAAGGTGAAGTCAGCGGGTTTCGCACACCTTGGGCTACCCATTTCCGATTGCCAATGACCAATAAAGGAGGCTTTATTTTTTTAAATAAATGTGTGTATTAATACCGTGTCCGATGGACCATGAGGCTATGAATGACCCCGAGCCGCCTCCGATTTCCGGCGACAGGTGTGGCTCGTGTGAAAGGAAATACTTGTTTACCCCAGCTCAAAACCCGGGTATTGAGTTTGAACTTGCGGAATATTCGCCAGCTGGAGATAATTCAGGGGATTTCTGAGGGTGAAATTGGGGGTAATAATGTTTTTCTTGCGCGAGCGCGTCTGTATACACGGAGAAAAATTACGTATCTTTTCCGTAATTCCGGAGCGAACAGCGAAATGTGGTTGTAAGAAATTTTACGGCACTGTCACGGAATTTTCCCGGAGCGTTCCGTAATTTTTATCTGAAACTCCTGTGAGAAATTACGATACCGTCACTTAAATTTTCTGAGTCGACTCCGTAATCGGTGAGTGAATTGTGAGTTCCGTAATTTTTACTGAACATTTCTCTCCGTGTAGTACTTGATAATACTTGAACTGGAGATTCGCTAGTTGCAGCTTTCCACTGAGGGAAAAACGACAAGGTTCTCAAACAAGTCTTACTTGCGCCGAAAAAATCGTTTTTTGAAAATGATCAAAAAAGGGCTTTTTTGTGCCAAACGTGCAGAGAGTGCGCCGGAATGAAAATTTTTTGTCGCAAAAATAGTTTTAGCAGTTGAAAAAAAATTGTACCATCTGTACAATCTGTTGTACCTGTTGTATCTGTTGTATCTGATATGATAGCAATCTTGTAACTTGGGGATAAAATATTTGTTGATAAATTTTCCTCTGTATGAGATATTTTCATCCTGAAAAGGCACCGTCTGGAGTGAATTATCCGCCTCTTGAGCCAAATATTTCGTTGCTGTCGAAAGCAGAACAATTATTCATGTTTGAGACTTTCCAATTCGAACCAAACAAATTCTTTTTTGGCAATTTTCAACTAGCGATTTTCTTGGCCCAAACAAAACTTGTTTGACAAGGTGTTTGTTTTTCTCTCAGTGTACTGTGACAAATGACGACCTAACAGCCATTAGATACATCAAATTATTAATTTGCAATTACCTCCCTATAGGATTTATTTCCCAATATTATTCAAGAGCGCTCTTTGAAAATGTTCAGCTTTTTTCAACGCTTTTTTGATTGTACAATCATAATTTTTGGAGACTCCAGGGATATGTAGAGCTGAATAGCAATTGGAGATCATTTCAGATTATCAAAATAAAAACAACAACCAAGATCACGTTCGAAAGATAATCCACCCGGGCCTGAATTGAAAAATTCAAGGATTTTTTAACCTGAAATACCATGAATTCTATGAATTTTTATGTAATTATTGAACTGAAATTACAATTTCCATTGATTTTTACGTAAAATTCAGAAATTTTGGCGATGAAGGTCCTTGAAATTCCAATGAAGCTGAAACTAGCAGAATATTCGTCAGCGGAAAATTGAATTTAGAGGATATTTAAGTGTAGGAGAGTCAAATAATCATCTGTACAAATGTTTTTCAAGTGCAAAAGAGTTTGTAGATTACTTAAAAACATTTGTACACTCCTAGATTCGCCTAAGACAAATCTTCTGCTGTGGAATCTTTCGCTAGATTCAGCTTCATAAATTCCAGTGGATATGTAATCTAGTAAAAATTTTCAAGAATAGAGTCTCTCGTACAACGAGATTATGTGTGAATGCCACATTTGAATAAAAAGAATCTGTTAATATTTGTGTTTCAGCTTCCTACAGGAAGTTCTCTGTGCTGTAATTTATCACTCAGGGGGCCAACACACGCGCAACAACGGACAACCCCACAGGACCGGGGGGTGCTTCTCGTGTCTCGGGAGGAAGGTCAGGGTCCTCACAGTAACCTTGGCTTATAAAGCAAAAAAAATCAAAACATTCACACGTACATTTATCAAACCCTTGCAAAATCCCAAAGAAGTTGAACGAAAAAAGAACATTTGAGATACGAAGTCTAGAGAGCTTCAAGTAGTTTTTCCGAAAAATCATAAACAAACTAAAACATTCGCGAGTCGCCTGCATTTTTCAACCACCGAGATTAAAAAGTTCGATGCCTTCCAGGGACGATAATCGCTCCCTATCCACTGAGCGACGCTGGATCCCTCCTTCAACTGTTAGACGCGATGCTTTCACCCCAGAAAACCGAAATGATTTCATCTTCCGTAAGGTGCGGGGTATTCTTAACAAGCTCACACCGGAAAAGTTCGCAAAGCTGAGCAACGATTTGCTCAAAGTTGAGCTCAATTCCGATGTGATTCTCAAAGGTGTTATTTTCCTGGTGAGTTGGGAGTAACTTATTCATTCGATTTGTTGTGAAGTGGTGGAAGAAGATGGGAAGGAGTTACATTCGATGCACTGATGGAAAATTGACTCTGTAATTTTATGAAAAAAAAAAAAAAAATGCTGAAATCACCAAATAATTCGCATCAAATTTCATGAACGATATTTGAGTTTAAATTGAGTTGAGATCTGAAACTTTGGGAACTCAAATGCAGTTTCACTGAGATTTCAGGAAATTTTGACATTGAAGATTGAAATTTTTTTGGAAAAATCAATGAAAACCGTAAATTTCACTGTAAATATATAACAATAACTCATCTATAGAAATTCGGGTCATAGCTGCGTTTGAATTCTGAATTTTGTTGATTTGAGTTCAATTTGAAGTTAAATTTAACATCACCTTGAATGGAAATTAAATTTCATAAACGATATTTGAGTTTAAATTGAATCCAAATCTCAAACTTTAAAAACTCCAATGCAGCTGTCACTTGAATTGCAATTATAATTCCACTGAAATTTCAGGAAATTTCGACATTGAAAATTCAAACTTTTATTAAAAAATCCACGAGAACCTTAAATTTTACTCTAATTATATAACAACAACTCATTTACAGAAACTCAACTAATAATTGCATTTGATTTCTCAATTTCAAGTTAAATTAAACATCAGCTTCAATAGAAATTAAATTTCATGAACGATATTCGAGTTTAAATTGACTTAAAATCAATTCAAATTTTCTAAAAAACTTCACAAGAATCGTAAATTTTACTGTAACCATACGACTCCTTCAACACTCCTTCACCACTGCCCCGATTAATATCCATTAACTCATAACTTAACGACTGCATTCTAGATCTTTGAAAAAGCACTCGATGAACCCAAGTACAGTTCTATGTACGCACAGCTGTGCAAACGGCTGGCCGACGAAGCACCTAACTTTGAATCCCAAAAGCCAACAATCGAAGGTCAAAAAGCTCAAAGTACATTCAGACTATTGCTCCTCAACAAGTGTAGAGCGGAATTCGAAAATCGTTCAAAAGCCAATGATGCATTCGAGGGACAGGATGATCTTGGACCGGAGGAGGAGGAACGCCGTCAGTTGGCTAAACGAAAAATGCTCGGCAATATCAAATTCATCGGAGAACTTGGTAAACTTGAAATCGTATCCGATTCTATACTGCACAGCTGTATCCAGCAGTTGTTACACAATAAAAGACGAGCCAAGGGACCCAGGGGGGACATGGCCGAGGATATCGAGTGCTTGTGTCAAATTATGCGTACATGCGGCCGTATCCTTGACTCGGATAAGGGCCGTTTCCTCATGGACCAATACTTTGAACGTATGAACTCACTCGCTGAGAGTTGTGATTTACCATTGCGCATACGTTTTATGTTGCGTGACGTTATTGAATTACGACGCGACAATTGGGTACCACGTAAAGCAACAAGCACCGAGGGCCCAATGCCAATTAATCAGATCCGCAATGACAACGACGACACCTCAAGAAGCACAAGCTCTTATCACAATCGACAACGTGAGGATCGTCTTGGTGGTAATGATTTTCTACGTAAAATTGGCAGACCCGGTATTGACATGGACATTGTTGGCAGTATACCACTGTCATCACCATCATTTGGACTATCACCATTCAGTCCAAATGGCTTTCCAACCCCACCGTCCGGTGGTTATGGCCGGCACAATCAGCGTAATCAAACGCCAGGTGGTTATTTTCCAAATCAAAATAGACATCAGAATAATTATCCTGGTAAACACAATCAACAACAACACAATTCACCCCAGAATTACAATAACAATGGTAACAAGGATCAGTTGCGTTTCAATAAATCAAAAATGCTGATTGGACATCCTGAGGAAGTGTCGCTGCGTCCATCAACAACGTCGATGATGTTTAATAAACAGGCTACTATTAAACCAGCAAGTTTACCTCTGACTTCAGATATATTCCAAGGTCGTGCTCTTGAATCACCAATGATGAGGGCACCAGCTATTAAGACAACTCCACCACTACCGCACAAAGAAACATCACCGGCTATTGTTATTAAACAGGGCCCACTTGATAAACGTGATAAGGCACGTGATAGGAAGGACAAGGGGCCCACTAGGGAGGAAATTATTAAGAAAGTTAATGCTATGATGGATGATATGTCATCGGAGACTAATGTCAAGGATGCTATCACCAGTTTCAAGGATCTCAAGGTACCGGAGAGATTTATACGTCATGCTGTCTACACTATTTACTCGAATACACTTGAGAGGGGAGATTCTGAGAGGGAATTTGCTGTTAAATTTGTCGCTGAAATGAGGAAGGAGAGCCTCGTTACTGTTCAACAGATGAGCGAGGGGTGGAAGGAGCTCGTTGCAAGTATTGCTGATAAGGAGAGCACTGTGCCCTGTGTTGCCTCACACGTGGCATCAATAACGGCCAAGGCCATTGTCAACAGTCTCATGCAACTTCAGGATCTTGCTTCGGTCACTGAAAATGGACAGCATCATCCCCTGTTTCTACTCACTCTGCAGCAATTGCATAAGAGCCAGGGCAAAGCTGTTCTCACACAGATATTTAATGACAGTAAAGTCAATCTTATGAGCCAATTGCCGGAGGCGGAGAAGACCAAGGAGAGACTTGGAGAGATTCTTGAGGATCGTGAACTGACATTCTTGTATCCTTTGTTGAGGATTCAGGGGGATATGTGGCGTCAGTTGGAGAGCGATCCCAGTCCACAGGCTTTCTACAAGTGGATCAAGGATAAACTCGATCCGGCGCATCATTCTGATCCGGGATTTATCAATGCACTTATGACCGTTCTTCTCAAGTACATCACGCAGGTAATTCGCTTGGTTTGCCGTTTGTTCAGGGAATCATCGGGTTTAGGAAGAAATTTTAGGAGAGATTTTTTTTGGTGATGGAATTTTTAAAAATATATCGAGTAATATTTTTCCGTAAAATTAATCATTGTTGAGATAATTCAATATTTGTTAATTATTTATTACGGTTCTTCTTAACTGCATCATATTCTATTAAATTTTTAATAGATTAGCAATTTTGAAAACTTATTGGATCAATGGGTTTAGGAAGAAATGCCAGGAGGGATTTTTTGTTGGTGATGGAATTTAAAAAAAAAATATCGATTCCGTAAAGTTAATCATTGTTGAGATAATTCAATATGCAATTCTGAAAAATATTTGCGTGAAGTTTTACTATTTTCATTGTGATATGCACCTGAAAATTACAATTCCATCAAGAATTCCAATAACTAGCTCATTTTTTTAGTAACGAAATACGTAAAAATTTCAGTTCAATCAATTCACTTTCTAGAGGATTCCATAAAGTAAATAAAATGCAGTCATTAATTATTTATAAATCTTGGGAATAAATAAGTTTGGATAGGAATTCAATATTCCACAAGACGTAAAAAATTGATGTTCTCTTTTACTTGTGCAATACAGCTTCTCTAAACCTTCAATTTTGTTTCTAAAAATAGGAAACCACACTTGCATCTGGCGTCGACACATCGAGCGTACCAGACAAGTCCCTGCAGGAGAAGGAACGTGGACTCTTGCAAAAGTACACACGTGTACTAGAGTCATTTCTCACTACCATCGATGCTCAGGTAACTGCCGTTCACTCGCTACAGGTGTTCTGTCTGTCGCACGATTTCCCAAAGGGAATGTTACTGCGATGGTTCATGGCACTCTATGAATTATCAATTATCGAGGAGGAAGCCTTCATCAAGTGGAAGGAGGATGTCACCGATGCTTATCCTGGCAAGGGCAAAGCCTTGTTCCAAGTGAGTGCACAATTATCTATTAAACCGTTCAAGATTACGTGCAGTAAAAATATCACATCTTATTATTCATCACAGTTAGAAATGAAAATGTAAATTTCATGGGACAATTTCCCTGAATTTTACCCCAAATTTCAGTCCAAAATTTTCAATAGTGATTATAGTAATCTATAATTCGTAATAATTCATTTTTCAGGTGAACTATTGGTTAACCTGGCTCCAGGAGGCGCCTTCCGAGGAGGAGGAGGACGAGGGAGACAACTAAATAAATTTCTTGGGTAAACCACCCGAAGACAGGGGCTCACAATCCCCAACCCAAACGACAACCTATTATTTCACATAGGGTTTTAATAACCGTGCTAACGCTGATCCGTGGGTTTCAGTTTTACTTGTTTACGTTGTCTCTTTCAACAAAAACAAAAAAGCAAAAGGAAAAAAAACAGAAAAATTAACTTAAAAAAAAACTCGAAAAAAAATGGAAAAAAATAAAGTGAACATCTTGTGAGTCCAGCAGGGGAGGAGGGGGTCGTGCACGCTCAATGAAGATGTTGGGGACGAGGAGTTGATGCATCCATAATTCGACAAATGGTACTGGAGAGGGAGGGGGGACAGGAGAAACGTGAAATTATTGATCAAATGAGAAACAAAATGGCTAGAACAGTATGCAACGACTCATGAATGTGTGTGTGAGTGGTGGAGCGTGTCAAGTGGAGAGACCCCGAAGGCAAGAAGTTTTAAATGTTTTAGATAATTGAATATTAATATTGATTTATATCTGAAAATGGGAAATAAGAAAATGAACTTCAGACCCTTGAATTTTTGAAATAGTAGGCCATTGAATTTGTTTTTTTTTTCATTTGTTGGTAATGATCATTGGTACAGAGGGGGTAAATTATCAGAACTATTGATAACGTGAAAACGACTAAATACGAAAACTATTAAAATTAGTAATGATCAATTTTGTGTTGTCCAAGTTTTTGTCTAGTATTGTGCTTGTGTCACATTAATCAATATTATTTTTCTTCTCTTTTGTAAGTCTTTTTCGTCCATTGGACCTTTATAGGAGAGTAGCCAAGTAATTTGTTATATCTGTGTACCAGCTTTTACATTTATTATGGTGAATGATCAACAAATATACCATTTCCAAAGGAAAAAAAATGAAATGCAGACATTTACGATGAATTGAAGAACTTAATTGATTCGAGTTTGTGGAGAATGGGGGGAATATAATAAATATAAAAGTGAATGGCGGTTTTTGATGGTCATGGAGTCAGTGGGCAATCAAATGCGATCTGTCATTGAGAAACTCTAAACTTCATGAATCATTCATTAACTATCCATCATAACTTAACGTAACGGAGACATTAGCTAGGCTTAGTGACATCGACTTGAAGAAGAAAAGTGAAGGAAACTGAATTAATCAATAAACTTTTGCCTCTTGTGTAATTTATTACAGAATTGAAAGAAAAATAACAACAAACTCTTGGTTCTGTCGTTCAACGTATCACATCCCTTTCATTCTTCCTCAGTTAACATGTAGTCTCTACTCTTCCCACTTAATTAATAATAAAAAGAAACGAAGTAAAAAGGAGAATTTAAAAATAATGAAAGATCGAGATAAAAAACATGAAAAATATCCGAAGCTTTGAGTCAACCTTCAGGCCGGCTAATCAGTGCTCTCGAATTTATTTAGTGCAATAATTAACACTTAATCCGAGTGTTCCAATCCTTATTTTCACATTACCATTATTCTCGTCGTTATTTCATTTTTAATCGAGATTTTTCAATGAGTTGCGACGCACCAGACCAACTTTACTATTTACTTAGGGAGTATTTTTATATTGGTTTGTGGACAGTATCATGATCGTAATGTATAGTCCAAGATGTATATAATTATTGAATTACGGGACTCGTGAAGACATTCGTCAGCCTGAAGAGTTACATCAAAGAAATGTTTTTTATGGTGAAAAAAAAAAATTTATTCAGAGACGTGAGGGGAACGTAAAGACCGTTGTATCCAATGATCACTACTAGGATTTACTTCGCCATTTAGTATACGCCCTGTATTTGTCCCCCAATTCCCAATTTTTTTTCGCGTCATTTAGATTAAAATGAAGAAAGTTAATGTTTTTCTACTTCATTCAGTAGATTCTACTCCCATTTTTTCGTTTACAAGTTAAACTTGGGGACAAATAATGCGTCAACGCGCTACGTATATTCATAGTCTTCATTTTATAGTGAAACAGGAGTAAAAGTATGAAAGTTTATAGTAATCCTTATCACCAGAGTCACTAGTGACTGTTAACATGATTTAAAATAAAAAGGACAAAAAAAAAGTATAAAAAAACGTATATAAATAACAAAAAAACGTATTAACTTACTTCTTTGCACGTGACATAACGAATTTATAGCGACAATTGTAGTGTAATATTTAATGGCGTAACATTTGGTATAACGATGTATTTTCGTTTATTGCCTTTGTAATACCAATTATATTTAAATATGAGTTTGTCTATCGGAGTGATTGTTTACATTGCAAAATTGTTATCCATGCACTCTTTGAGAGAATATGAATGGCATCGCTCTGACGACGAGTGTACCTCAGCATAATTGTTGTCGAGGAATGAATCTTTTTTTTTAATTGGTTTATTTTTTCTTCCATCTCGCACGGAAAAATTGCATTCAAGAACCTGGTGAATTTTATGGGAAACTTTATTGGATTTTTATTGAATTTTGACTTTTCTCATTGAAAATATCCCATAGGAACTATTTTATTTATTTTTTAATCAGGAGAATTTTCTGGAGGAATTCCTCCACATTAATTTTTTTTCACTCAATTTTTTTCTTTTTTTATTGAAAAAAATGGAGCAAAAAAACGTAGGAAAAATCGAATTCTTCTGATTTTTACCGTAAAATATTCTCCATTGAACATTTCTATTTGCAAAAATCTGATAAAAATTTCAACATAAATTCAACAGAATTTTGCAGGAAATTCCCTGGGTTTTTCTATAAATTTTTTTGTATGTAACGCCCGATGAATTTGACAATTTACAGAGAAAAAAAAAAGAACAATCCATGTATAAATAAAGTCAGTATTATTTCCGACGAATGCAAAATACAATTGAATTTGTAGAGAAATTTAATTCGGACATTAAATGGACAAAAAATCATAATAGAACCAGTAATGACGTGAAATTAACACAACTATTTTGAAGTTTAAATCAAAATATGAATAATCCCTGGGATGACGTTTTATCTCATGACTTGTGCGTGACCGACTGTCATTGTTCAATGAAATTCTTTGTATCCGAGTAGATCGTACTGATATAATTCTCAAAGTTTGAACAATATCTCTGGCGTGAGTTGCGATGAATGCACAACGATAAGAAAAACAAATAGTTTACTCGAATGAAAATTGTTAATGAATCTCTCGACAAATTACAGGAACAGGATAAACAGTGAGGAAAATATTAACTGAAATTTACCAGAATGATGAAGAATAAAATGAGACGACTATGAGAACAAGCCCCAGTGTTGCACCAGTTACTCTCAGCCTTAATGTATATTTGATACGTATTCAGGCACGTGTATGTATATAGAATTATCACCACTCGAATTTCTCCTGGTGTTAGAGATAAAAAGTGAAATGAACAGAAGCAAAAAAAACAGATATCATATTCCCAATTTTTATCGGGCAGTTTATAGATGATTAGAGATGATTTACTTTCGTGTCAGCCACTGAAATTGCCGTGACATCTTGTTGACTACGCACTGAATTAATCTCCAGATATCTTTGTTATTAGTCGTGACATACCTCTGCTGTAATCTCTTCCATGTTAATCTGATACGAGAAGAAGAGAACAGTGAAATGTTTGAATATACATCTTGTGCGTCTGTTTCACTCGACGATTCAAGTATCTCCTCGTTAAAAATATGAAATTACTCGATGATAAATTGTTAGTTCTCACGAATTTTCCAGCATTCTCGACGTAAGAATCTCACTGCCAGTCCTCAGCAATTTTTAGGAATTCGAATAAAACGCTAAAAACGTTTGTAAACAAAATAAATAACTAGTTGAAAACGGTGGTTGGACTGTAGGCATGTTGGTGATAAGGTGTTATCTATAGGTATATGCGATGCATGTATTTGGTATCATTTTTACTCATGATTGATTGATTTCAGGTTCAATTTTTTATAGCCCACTGTAATATCATTTCGACAAAAGAAAATAGCAAAATCTATACATTTATGAGAGACTAACGAAGATAACTATCAGTCACGTCAACGATTGATAACAACTGTCGTCAATTAATTAATTAATTTGTAAACATGTGAAAAAAATAATTGAGTGAAAATTTATCTGAAGACGAGCCTTATGAACACCCTCTCACTCCCAAATTACTCACCTCATTCAGTTGATGAAATTAATGATGAGAAAAGGATATGAAAAATGGCAATTGTCCAAATTAAATTTTTATTAAACACGGTTTTTTTTTGTTTTCTGTAACATCGAGGACGAATCATATAACATAAATAATTATTGATCAGTATCACTTTCAGCGCTCAACAATGAATCTACAAGTAACACTGGAAGATAGTACTTTTTTTTCTTTTTCATTTTAAAAAGGGGGGGGGGGTGGCGACGGCGTTTCTCTCCTCCCTCTATACCAGTGCTTCCTCATTTATATTCATCTACTAAATCGTTAATTGTTTCTCATCTTGAATCACGCTCTATCGCTCACTCTCATCACTCTCTCACTCACAATTTCAGATAATTGCTCCATTAGTCATTAGTTCTTTTTTTATTTCATAGTTATTTGAATTTTTATCTTTCACACAGCTACGCAAGTTTGGTACAATAATACCTCATTCTAGTCTACCCTAGGTACGTGCAATAATAGCTTCAAGCATCAATGGTGGTATGTACATTACACGCGCACTATTGCAACTGATAACATGGTTTTTTAAATATTCTCCCGGCGTTATTTTATCTCATCAGCGAATACAATAGTTTCGTATAGTATTTTTCTCATTGACATTTTGAACGGATAAAGGGGGGAGAGAGGAAATCGTCTGGATTGTGACATTTTTGCGTTGTTTCTACATTATTCTTCTTCGTGAATCGATAGGACGAGGGAACGACTCTTATTCAATCGCAGAAAATGTTCTGGAAGTTTTCAATTTCAAAAAAACTGTCTTTTCCAGCAATTTCTGTCCTTCTCATCCTCGTCCCCATTCTCAGGCAAGTAAATCCCACATAATCTTCCCTCCAACCGAATGTTGACCCGTCGCCGCGAGAATGATCGAAAGAGCGGTAATTTTTTTTTGTTTTCACATTACGATTTATTTCGATCCAGTCTGTCCCCAATATAGTTGGCATTTTCAAGCGAGAACTTTGCAAACACTGTGATATGCATTCACTCGAGACAATTAATCCCGTTCCATTCATCACAATCAAACAGAAGTAATCAACATCTATTTAATCGAAATAGTGTTATTCTCGAATTGAGAAGCAAAGAGAAATGCCTTCCCTCGCCCGGAAATGCCTCTATACGTTGAGCTCGATGTTTTGTTATCAGGTAATACAAGGAGATACTGCCACAGTCAATAAAACACGGTGAACGGGTTAACAGGTAATTCTTTCAATCGATTCAATCTCGCGAGACTGCACTCAATGGATAATGTTTTCATTGGGCTATTGATTTTTTTCGAGGATCTAGGAATCAGACAGAGCCAATTGCCAGCTCCCAGACAATCAGCCCTGTGGACCCAGGGTTAATCCTCACTCTCGTTAGCACTGAAACAATTCCCTGCGCACCCGCTACCCATGGACTCAACGAACTTATTATGGAATGTACAAATTGTTACATTTTGTTTTTCATTATTCTTTCATTTTAACATTTATTCGCCTCACGAGACCATTCTCAGGGCCTCGTACACCTCAATTTCGGTTTTAATGCGCCATTCGTTCATCTTCTGGCGCATCATCACGTGTTTTTAATTATTATCTTTACATTCCTGGATATTTGTGGATGGTGAGCAGAATTGATGCTGGCCATTGCAACAATTCTTGGATTTTACGACTATTTAGCTTCCATGAATCCCCGAACATTTGTCGTTACTCTATTTTTTTTAAGAGAGTCGACTTCTCGTGAAAATTCATCGAAGAGTTTCATCGTTAATTCAATCAAGTTCAAGCAGCCCCCGACGAAATTGACTTAATACTATCGAGTATCGATCTTCTGTTAATATTTTTCAATTCATTAATATTTTCCTTCTAGTATACACGCAAAGTTCCCGCTATCAGAAATCCATTCCTCACGATGCATTCCTCCCTTGCGCACTGACGCGTATGTGCTCGATAATTAATAATTCATTAAAAAACTCAAAGCAGGATTTTTTAAATGTACAAATCTTATTATGCTGATGCTGAATTTTTACCCAATTTCGAATTGTCGTTTGCTCACGTGCAGTTCAACGCGTTTTTTTTTTCACTTTTTTGGTGGTTTATGAAATTTTAACATGAATTTTCATCGCTCACATTGATCCACAGAACACCATACGCCGCTTATTATTATTTTCCACTGTTTTTTTGCATAATACAGTAATTGTGCTAAGTATTTCTCATTAATCAATAGAACCGCATTTTTAATGGTATTTTCATTCATTTTTTTCCGTTTATAATCTTTATACACTGAGTAGAGCCGATTAATTTAATTGATAATTCAATGTCAAACTATACTACAAAATGATTACTATACAATGAAAGAGAAAGGTTCATCTTCGGCGTGGAGAATCAAGAATAGTGGCTATTTTTTTTTTCATGGTTTGTGTGCCTTCATTCTCGCTGTGTACATCTCTGGTCATTCGTGTTTGCATACTGTTGTGGATTATTTTCAATTATCTCGCACTATTTTTAATCATCCATAGCTCAATTGCAGCCGACTGCTGTACACACATTTTTTATGGGAGAAACAGGACTCGAATTGCTGTCTGTCGCGTTTTTTTTTTTCGTTAGTTTTGTGTCTTTAAATTTTTCGAATTAATCTTCTTGATATTTAACAATGATGAGATTACAAGGATCTGATGCTTGATGGTGGGTACAATATGCAGAAATGTGACTTCTCTTAAGTAAAACGTCGAAATATGTTGCAATATTTATTTAGTTTCTTTAGGGAGCGTTGGTTTTTTTTATCAATTTTGTTCTTCAGCGGCAGGCAATAGTGTCTTGTCATTCCTGCCTCGACTGTTTCAGTGAATTCATTTAATTGCAGGTTTTTTTTTCTTTGTGAATTTTTTTAATTCTTGGCGTAGAGGAAGATGGCAACGATGAGACCGTAGAGACCCAGTACCTCGGCGAAGATGAGGATCAGGATCATACCGACGAAGAGACGTGGCTGTTGGGCTGTACCTCTCACACCAGCGTCACCCACTATTCCAATCGCAAAGCCTGCTGCCAGGCCTGAGAAACCGACCGCCAGACCAGCACCCAGGTGAACGAAACCCCTAGAATATTCGAGGGTAATTAATACATTACGACATTACGACATTCTGATTTGTCACTCGCTTTTTGTAAATATTTTTTCTTCGGGAGGTGGTGAAATTTTTTTGACTTTGGGGTCCTTTATCTTCTATTAAAAAATAGGTGAAACATTTTTGATTTAGGAATATTTCGAGTTTATCTTAGCTTATGAATATATCAAATTTTAAATAGATGGATAAATATATTAATTTTTTTTTTAATTTTATTATAAATATATATGTGATAGCTACGCTATGCAGGAAATATGAACGGGAAAATATGGTTGAAAAATTGGAGAATAACTTCTCCATTATATTCATTCAACTTCATAAACTTTATAACGTGAAAATTAATATTGAAAAGCCCACGTAGACCTTGAAAGGTCAGCGCAGGCTTGGCGAAGTAGATTGCTGACCGAAAATGTTTCACCTATTTTTTAATAGAGGATTAACAGGAAAATTGATGGACAGTTCTTCGCAAAAGCTTACATTGTCACAATTGAGAAATGGGATCGATTTCATTGTTAAATGCACCTAATTCCATAAACCTTACAACATAAATTTTTCATCGTGAAAATTTTTAAAGATCATTTTTCAAATTTTTTCTCAAATCTAAAGATAATAAAAGCGGGCATTACTCCCTTTAAATGAATAAATGAATACATAATGATCAAAAATAATAAAAATGAATGAAAAAAAACTCATGAGATACTTATACTGAGATATTTGATTATAATGAGAAAAAATTGACGACCGAGACGAATAAGTCAGAGAAAAAAATCATTTTTTAATGAATATCTCGTAATCTAAAGGAGACAGTAAAATTTTAGTCATGACATTTTTTGTAGCTCTCAATTAGGTCTCCAAAAAAGGTAATCACGAAAATTTCATTATCTCCATGAGCTTCGGAGATACTCCTCAAAATCTCAGCAGAGAGCCGAGGCGACTGAACCGTTTATCGCTTGGCTACTGGAATAATTAAATTCAATTGAATTATTTCCTCTTCATCGTGTCCACCAACTCCACAACTTACTTGTACAAGGGATATTGGTCGGGTGTCTGTATAGACCCAGCAATGAGTACAGCTACGACTAAACCATAAATGGCAATGATACCCGCCATGACAACGGGAATGATGGATTTCATGATGAGTTCAGGCCTCATTACAGACATGGCTGCAATACCCGTGCCAGACTTCGCTGTGCCATATGCCGCTCCCAAAGCTGAAAAAAAACACAACGAAAACGATAAAGACCAGTCAATACCCATCGCCCCTCATCTACGCTAAATCCGATTTATCCGGGGATGAAATTGTGACGTCGTACGAACTATTCTCCCACAACGTTAATTCCTAAAGTTAACGCTGGAAAATGGATTTCTGGGTTATATTACGTGGGTAAATAATTGTCGCCGGTGCCTAGGTGAGCATTAATACGGCCTTATCAGTGGATTTTTTTCGCTGGTATCACATGATGGGTGAGTGAAGGGTAAATAAGGTGTTTCACTCGCTACTCTCATATCATTATTCATTTCTAAGGTTGAAAAACCAAACGAGGAGTCAATTTAGGGGACTCCTAGGAGTGGTACATTTATTGGATTTCGGTGAATCTTGGGGGCCCAAGTATTTTTTAAGGGGAGACTATTATGAGTTTTGAACGTCCCGGGCTATTGGAATAAGATTTCTCATACATTGAAGATCGATTATATGTGTCTACAAAACGAATAATTGGTGCAAAAAAAATTGTTTATTGCTCGTTTACCAAATAGTCAAGGGCCTGCAATTTTGAAACTACAAAGGTTCTTTTTTTTCAAATTTTTTGGAAACATGTGTAGTGAAAATTGCAAATAGTTTTTTTGAAATTCAGCTCCTACACAACTAATTTTACTATTATTTTAATAAGAAATTGTACCATTCATGTGAAATAGCTTGAAAAATATTTCTGAAAGAATCAAGAATATTTTTTAAATATTTTAAGGATTATTTTTCTGCCTATTTTACATGACTGGCGCAAATTTTTATGTTAAACAAAACGAAATTAGCTGTTTAGGAGTGGAATTCCGAAAAACTAATTCGTAACTGTTATTGTACACATTTTTTCAAGAATTTTGAAAGAAAAAAACCTCTGTAGCTCGAAAATTGGAGGCCCTGGACTATTTTTAATATTTAAAGCGTCTGTGGGGCGAACGAACAATAAACAATTCATTTTTTTGCACTAATTATTCGTTTTTAGACAGCTGTAATCGATCATCAATGCATGAGAAATCTCACTCCAATATCCCACGACTTTTAAAACTCATTGTAGTCGGAGGGAAAAGAGCTCTAATTTTCAGGGACATTTTACTAATTTTCAGACATGAAAATTATCCTCACTCATTTTTATCACTGAAATTTGGTGACATTTTCCTAAAAATGAGATATGAGTTCCTGAAAATCAGTGTCATCACTCTGAAAATTACTGACAAAATCACAGAATCTTGCACTCCCTGAATTTCGCGCAAATTCTTAATAATCGAGCATGAATTTTCAAAAACCAGTGACATGACGAATCACTAATTTCGTTATTATAAAAAAAAAATTGCACCATTCATGTAAAACAGCTTGCAAGCCAGGACGAAAAATTGAAAATTCATAGAAAAATTGAAAAATCCCTTGAATTGAATTTTCCACTGTAAAATGCCGACGCCGAGCCACTTTCCAGATGCAAACGACATCATAATGGCCCAAAAATCCTCGAAAACCCCCAGCCCCCAGATACCCTCACCTCCATAAACCAAAAACTACGGTCATTACACGGTATTATGACCCCCACCGATGAGTAACAGCGACCCCCGGTAGGAATGCAAAATATTTTCCCTAATTCCCCGAAACACGAGCCCTATTCCCTCCCCATTCCTCTTCACGTGCATGATTATTGATCAGCTGGTTCCACCGGGGCCCGAGTGCTCTACAGCTCTCTCGAAAAAACCTCTCGAAAGAGACTATGCATGAGAAACAATAGCGCAAGTATTCCTCTCTATTCCCATGCAAGCATGTCGATCGATACGGCATTTAATTCCGAACTGAGCGAAAATTAAATAAGAAAACCCCATGGTCGTGGGGGGCCCAGCCCACGAGTCACATGAGTCTCACGTTGGCAGTCACATGACAGTCATGTAAGAACAGCGAGCTGCGGGGGCGTGGCACAGAGCAACTCTCCATGTGCACCTCAGTCAATCGAATTGACCGAAAGCCTGGAAAATCAATTTTTTCGTCTTAATGGCAAGAATCACCGAGAACATCAGTTGTGAGGATTTTTGGCCAGTCACCAGACATGCCTGCCGTCTCTCTGTGTGCGTGCGAATGCGCAGAGAGTCGAGACAGGCGCGTTGTGAATTACCAACGGGAGAGTTTACTGGCTGGCCCATTTGGCTGTCGATCAAGATCTCCCTCGCGTCTTCAACTGACAATTTTTCATTTCCAATTACTCGAATTTTTCCAATGAGTTTCAATATTTTTCCCGAGGCTGCGGGGGGTGTAGCGGGGCCTGGGGGGGATCTCCAGGGTGAGGACTGGCCGGAGGAAGAAATGCAGGGAAAGGGATTCGTATTGATCTCCCCGCGATAGGGACAACCAAGGGAAACCGCTGCGCGCCACCAATTCAGTCTTCGGTATTTGATCATCGATCGCCGAAAATTCCGCCTTTCGCGTCAAACGAAGGGAGAGAGGAATTCATTGCTATGCCAATTCGTAGTGTTTTTTCCCTCATATTTTCACGGGCAATTAGATGCTGCTCGTGAACCAGACTGATCGAGGTCAGCGTTACGAAATAATCGCGGTAGAAAATCATCGGTGGAGCACAAGTTTCACTCGTCCTGCTATCACGTTTTTCAATTATTACGAAACAATGAGTATTTCGTACCGGAGACGGGGAATTATCGGTCGAGTGGGCATCTGGAATATTTGAATTTCGGGAGGAATCGAGGGCTCATCACTCGTCCGAGGAGATAACAAATTTCCCTGTGAGATTTTCCACTCGCTGGCGAGTGTTAACTCGGTGTAAAAGCAATTGAGAAGAGTCTAAATTGATTCGAAGGAGAAAAAATGCCGAGGAAAGATGAAATAATCACGAGATGGCGCGTCTGGGACACTTCATCCCTACCCAGCTGCAATACCCCACTGGTTAACCAGAGAACCATCGATCCGCGGAGTTTTCCTTATCTCGTAATTATTTTGGAAAAGGGAATGATAAACGCGGAAAATGGCGTGTTCGTCGAGAATGAACACACTTGTGTTTCTCCGAAATGATACACCTCCCTCTCTCTCTCTCTCTCTCCCCCCCGCCCACTGCAGGCTGTAGTGAACCTCTCGGGGAGGAGTGAAAATACCAAATTGCTATTGAAAATTGTATTTTCGGAGTGGCTGTGGTTGTTGGCCCCCGAATGAATGAAGCCTGAAATAAAAATACATGCGAATAGCCGTGGACAGGAGGACTTACCGGAGAAAATAATGGCAGAGGCGGCGCCCATAACTCCAAAGAAAGGCCCGTAGACGGGATGCTCTTCGTCTAGCATTTTGTTATTTCGTTGAGTTAGCGCGACAACACGGAAACAAACCCCCCGATTTAATGATTTTTAATTTAACGTTTTTTAAAACGCTTATTCGAGGGTCAGCGAGTATTTACAGGTTGTCGGGGGGAGGATTTATTTTAGATTGAAACACGAAAGGCCCGTTAACTGCTCTTGGCGATGAATCAATCCTCGCGCACTCACTTCACTAAACTAGTGGCACTGTCAAATGAGGGCCTACTGGGTACAGTGGCGGCGGGTCATGTGATGAGTGACGAGTAAGGTGGAAGGACCGTACGGCAGACCCGTGACCACCGATGGGCGCTCTCATTGGCGTGCGGGTGGACGGATACAGGGGAAGGACCAATCGCGGCGGCCGTTTCATCTCTTATGACCTGACGTCAGAGGTACTTGTAGCTCTACCGGCCGGAAGACGGCGTACCACGTTATCACTCGCATTTCCGGTATTGACGACCGCGTGACCAATAATTTTCGCGTTATTTTCGACATTGCAACGAGTAAATTCAAGATAATTCAGTCATTTTCGGGAACATTGGCTTCTTCGGGTTTTTTTTTGTTGGTTGAAGGGATGACAGGAGTTTTTGGGGCGAATGCTTTTGGTTTTATTACTTGATGCCCCAATTCGAAGGTGGGGAGCTCGGGAGGGCGAACGCAGCCTCGGCCTCGATAAAATTGAGATATTTTTTTTAACAATTTGGTGAAGTATTTTTGTTTCTCGTTAAAGTCTGGTTTGGCTTCGTTAGGGGATTGGAATGCTCATTTGATTCAGTTTTGCGACATTCAAATGAGATGGACTGGGCGTTTTTTGAGCGCGTGACCAATATTTTTAGCGTTAATTTGGTGATTCCAATTATTAAATTTTCTGTGGGATATTTTTCACTAATTTATATAATGCCACGATTTTTCGGGAGGCGAATTGGGCCTTATGTTTGCACTATTTTTTTCCACGAAAATTTATTAATTTTCTGGGTCATTGTCTTCTTGGGTTTTTTTTGTTGATTAAAGTGATTGGACGATTTTTGTGGGGCGAATGCTTTTGATTTTATTCCTTCATGCCCCAATTCGAAGATGAGAAGGCTCGGGAGGGCGAACGCAGCCTCGGCCTCGATAAAATTGCGATATTTTTTTTCCCAATTTGGTGGAGATTTTTTCATTTCTCGTTAAAGTCTAATTTTATAAATTTTATTAGGGGACATGGCTTGTGAGTCCTGGTTAGGGGATTGGAATGCTCATTTGATTCAATTTTGCGACATTCAAATGAGATGGACTGGGCGTTTTTTGAGCGCGTGACCAATATTTTTAGCGTTAATTTGGTGATTCCAATTATTAAATCTTCTGTGGGATATTTTTTACTAATTTATATAATGCCACGATTTTTCGGGAGGCGAATTGGGCCTTATGTTTGCACTATTTTTTTCCACGAAAATTTATTAATTTTCTGGGTCATTGTCTTCTTGGGTTTTTTTTGTTGATTAAAGTGATTGGACGATTTTTGTGGGGCGAATGCTTTTGATTTTATTCCTTCATGCCCCAATTCGAAGATGAGAAGGCTCGGGAGGGCGAACGCAGCCTCGGCCTCGATAAAATTGCGATATTTTTTTCCCAATTTGGTGGAGATTTTTTCATTTCTCGTTAAAGTCTAATTTTATAAATTTTATTAGGGGACATGGCTTGTGAGTCCTGGTTAGGGGATTGGAATGCTCATTTGATTCAATTTTGCGACATTCAAATGAGATGGACTGGGCGTTTTTTGAGCGCGTGACCAATATTTTTAGCGTTAATTTGGTGATTCCAATTATTAAATCTTCTGTGGGATATTTTTTACTAATTTATATAATGCCACGATTTTTCGGGAGGCGAATTGGGCCTTATGTTTGCACTATTTTTTTCCACGAAAATTTATTAATTTTCTGGGTCATTGTCTTCTTGGGTTTTTTTTGTTGATTAAAGTGATTGGACGATTTTTGTGGGGCGAATGCTTTTGATTTTATTCCTTCATGCCCCAATTCGAAGATGAGAAGGCTCGGGAGGGCGAACGCAGCCTCGGCCTCGATAAAATTGCGATATTTTTTTCCCAATTTGGTGGAGATTTTTTCATTTCTCGTTAAAGTCTAATTTTATAAATTTTATTAGGGGATATGGCTTGTGAGTCCTGGTTAGGGGATTGGAATGCTCATTTGATTCATTTTTATGACATTCAAATGAAACGGCCTGGGCGTTTGGGAGCGCGTGACCAATAATTCTAGCATTATTCCAGGGATTCCAATTATTAAATCCTCTTTGGGGTATTTTTCACTAATTTATAACACAATTTATGCCACAATTGTTCGGAGGACGAATACTACATTTTACTTTCACCCCAAGATTTCAATGCTCATTTGATTCATTTTTACGGCGTTCAAACAGACATGGGCGTTTCTGAAGCGCAAGAACTCGTGACTCAATTAATTTTTTCATTCCCGAAGTTCAAGACGATTCGATAAAAATTTGATCATCTAGATTTTTACTGCTGACCCATTAATTGGTTCAGTCTTATCCGATTACGGCTTTCTATTATCTGAGGTCAATATCTTCATCAGATAAAAGTCAGTAAACGGTAGTGCGATTACCATCGGCCTTGGATTCCCTCTCATTCCATGATTACTGTTGCATCGGATGTTATGCAATAGGTTCGCTCATCGTGAGGAAGACACCACTGGGCTGATCATCTCGTAATAATTCTCAGTGAGTTATCAATTTGTTCACACGAGTGGAGTCAAAACTGATTTCTCGAGATGTGGAAAATGGAGATGTTGAATATTGCCGCCAAGAGCTGCGGTGAACGCAACCGGAAGTCAACGCTGCTCCATTCAAATGTCAAGCACGCATGGTACTCTGCATGCTCTCCATTGACTTTTTACGGTGGAGAATTAAATATTTAAACACCCGAATTTATGGAGTAATTAATCAGAATGAAATTCGCGTACAAGGTAAAACAGAATAATTCCTTCATTTTTTAATACATTTGTTCTTTTATGCCTGACGTTGTGGTTTAGACGAATGTTTACGTGCTCTGTTCCTAACCTCTGCTCTTTATAAACAAAATATTCCGAATTATTTAGGCACAAGGGAAGGAAAGCTCCAGTTTTTAGGGGAATTCTCGTAATTTTTGGGATTAATCATTGAATTTTAAAAATGTAGGGGAGAATGGGGCAAAGTGGACACTTCTGAGGCTTTTTCAAATGTCAATAGCTCATTCAATTTTTAATGAAACGGGATTTTTTTTCCGTCGAGTGGACAATTAGGGGAGGTTGGGGTAAAACGGACACTTTTGACTTTTTTTTTTAATGTCAATGAGGGGTTGAAATGTTGATCAAATTTAATAATTTTTTTTTCAATACAAAGAACAAGTCTTTCCCTTGGTGACGAGCCTAAACTGAGCTCAATTGATCAATTTGCTTCTGAGTTATGAATAATTTTAAAAAATTCTAAAGTGTCCGTTTTACCCCACCCTCCCCTAAATTCATTCCTGAGTTTTGAACATTAGAAAAAATGGCAAAAGTAGGGGACGGCGGGGTAAAATGGACATGCCTGTCGCTGGAAATTAGTGACTAACTCACTTGATTTTATTATTTTTCATTCGTTCAATCTCAAAATCCTGGCATCCCTGATAACTAGAATTTTTTTCTCTGTTGATTCATATTTATCGCCATTTCTGTAAATTGCGCTTCGGTTGTCAATAATTTTTCGAATTAAAATTTAGTTTAATAATTTCACTGCACAATAAGTATGTCAAATGCCTGATGCAGCTAAAATAATTACGGAAATGTCGCATCCTTGATTTCACATGGTCCTGAAGATAATTCTAAATTATTAATTACTTTATTTACAGTTCAGTAATCTTCTCGGTACAGTGTACCGAAAGGGAGATTTAATATTTTCGCCTGATGGAGCGTCTGTCGTCAGTCCCGTTGGAAACAGAATTACTGTATTCGACTTGAAGAAGTGAGAAATTTTCCTGCAGAGACTAATGATCAAATTCCACGTAATTAATCCATTCTCACTTCCAGCAATAAATCAACTACTCTCCCAGTGGAGTCCAGATTCAACTTTACTGCTATTGATTTATCCCCAAATGGGAATATACTCATTGCTATCAACGAGGAGGGTGAGGCCCATATCATCAGTATGATCAGCAAAATGAGCATTCACAAGTACAGGTTTAAAAGACCTGTCAAGTGTGTTAAATTCTCACCTGATGGAAAACACTTTGCAGTCTGCAAGGAAAATAGAGGTAATTGACTAAATTATTTAATTAGATTTCATTCAAATCACTATTTTTTTTGTAACTATTATTTAGAGATTAATCCATCACTTGAAGTAAATCTGAAGTTATTATGAAGGTGTCTTCAGAAAGAAGAAAAGACATTCAAACGAATTCGCACATTGTTGGAAACAAAATTGAAATTTCATCGANTGTTAGTTCTCATGGAATAATTGACTAAAATTTGTAATTTCCAAGACGTGTACCGGAGTTTTAAGTCAACAATTTATAACAGTACACCACCTAAACCTTTCGGGGTACAACTGACCACAAATACATAGAAACAATTTGTAGATACCTCAGAGAATGTAAATTACAATTTAAAAAAAATTCGATTTGGGAGGGAACAAATGATAAAATTTCAGATTCCACTACAAGTTCAGTGAAATTCCAAATATTTCTAAGCAGGAAGAGGAGAATTCCCTAACTTTCTTAAATTTTTCATGAAAACATGAATATTCAGTACCAAATTATACTAAATTATTTAATTAATGGAAGATTTAAGAACACATTTACTTGAATTTTCCGGATGTCTGTTAGTTCTCATGGAATAATTGACTAAAATTTGTAATTTCCAAGACGTGTACCGGAGTTTTAAGTCAACAATTTATAACAGTACACCACCTAAACCTTTCGGGGTACAACTGACCACAAATACATAGAAACAATTTGTAGATACCTCAGAGAATGTAAATTACAATTTAAAAAAAATTCGATTTGGGAGGGAACAAATGATAAAATTTCAGATTCCACTACAAGTTCAGTGAAATTCCAAATATTTCTAAGCAGGAAGAGGAGAATTCCCTAACTTACTTAAATTTTTCATGAAAACATGAATATTCAGTACCAAATTATACTAAATTATTTAATTAATGGAAGATTTAAGAACACATTTACCTGAGTTTTCCGGATGTCTGTTAGTTCTCATGGAATAATTGACTAAAATTTGTAATTTCCAAGACGTGTACCGGAGTTTTAAGTCAACAATTTATAACAATACACCACCTAAACCTTTCGGGGTACAACTGACCACAAATACATAGAAATAATTTGTAGATACCTCAGAGAATGTAAATTACAATTTAAAAAAAATTCGATTTGGGAGGGAACAAATGATAAAATTTCAGATTCCACTACAAGTTCAGTGAAATTCCAAATATTTCTAAGCAGGAAGAGGAGAATTCCCTAACTT